TGAAGTGGTATTGTTCGGAGCAGTGTGTTCTCCATTTATTTTAAACGCGGTCGTCAAATCGCATTTAGAAGCTAACTCATCAATTCCAACATCATTTGACTTAAAGAATAATATATATGTTGATAACGTTGTGAGTGGAACAAACACCGAGACGGAAGCACTGTCATACTACAACGAAGCCAATCAACTGATGCAATCCGCGGGTTTCAAATTACGCTCATGGTCGTCAAATTGTGACTCTGTACGCTCTCTTTCGGACACTGACGATAGTCTAAACCCGGATAGTAATGTAAATGTTCTTGGAATTCGCTGGATAACCGACTCAGACGAACTAACTTATCCTGAGAAAACTATCAGCCTTCAGGACAATATCATCACCAAACGCACAGTTGTACGAACTGCCGCATGCTTATACGACCCGATTGGCTATCTTTCGCCAGTTCATATTAGAGCGAAATTGTTCATCCAAGAATTATGGAAAGAGAAAGTAAATTGGGACGACACACTTAGTGAAGATATGAATCGGAAATGGAGTGGCATTGTCAGTGATCTCAACGCAGCCACCAACACCAAGCTAAAGCGTTTATATTTTCCCAAATCCGATGAACAGTGTACAAATAATGAATATCAACTGCACGTATTCGCGGACGCCAGCGACAAAGCATATGGAGCTGCCGTATATTTACGCCGTAACGACCAAACAGCGCTAGTGATAGCCAAGACACGCGTCGCGCCACTGAAACCAGAAGTATCGCTTCCCCGCTTAGAATTAATGGCTTCACTAATCGGAGCCCGTCTTATGAATTTTGTGTTAGAAGCATTCAAATCCCGGCTTTCATTCGCCAAGTGTGTATTATGGTCAGACAGCCAGATTGTTATCCACTGGCTAAATAGCAACAAGAGATTGCCTGTCTTTATTGCTAATCGTGTTAAAGAAATTAAGGAACTACTACGTTGTGCTACCATAAAGTATTGCCCAATCCGTGACAACCCAGCCGATCTACTAACGCGTGGCATATCTACCCATAAGTTACAGACTTCTGATATTTGGTGGAACGGACCTCACTGGCTTCAACAAGGTGACTGGCCTGTATGTGATTTATTTGACAACGCAATGAATCACGTGTCAGTTACCAATAACGCACATACCGGTAACGAAAACACGGAAACCACGCCTGAAAACGCCCAAACAGCCCCAACTATAGGCATTCAACACATTGTCGATGCAGGCAGGTTTGGATCTCTCGATAAGCTGTTATGTGTCACTGCGCTAGTACTTCGTTTCATTACTCGGCTAAAACGACAAAATCCACGCAACGCCGGAACACCCGACGCAGATGAAATAAAAGAAGCCGAGAAACTATGGATCCACGACATCCAACTTGAGAAATACTACACTGAGATTCAATCATTTCAACCATGTTTCAACGAGAAGGAAGAAAACTGGGCCCTTTGGTGAAACAACTGAGACTTTTCGTCGACTTACACACCACACTATGTTGCGGTGGGAGGCTACACAACGCCCCTCTGGAATTTACTACGAAATTCCCTATATTATTGCCGTCAAACCATCCCTTCACCGATCTCGTCGTTTTGAAAGCGCAATCTGATGTGTCACATGCGGGCCCACAATATACCATAACGCATATTAGACAACGCTTTTGGATCACCAACATTCGACAAGTAGTGAATAAATTACTGTGAAAATGCGTCACATGCCGTAAAGTTATTGGTGGACACTACAGAGCTCCGATTTCCGCGCCTCTCCAATCTTGTCGAGTAAACGTCACACCCCCATTCGCCATAACTGGAGTCGACTTTACAGGCGCATTGAATATCAAACCACCACAAGGCAGTAAGGAAAGTAAAGCTTATGTATGTCTATTTACATGCGCTGTCACTCGCGCTGTGCATCTTGAACTTGTACCGGATTTATCGACTAAATCGTTTCTATATGCATTCCGCCGATTCACATCTAGACGCTCGTTGCCTTGCAAAATGATATCCGACAAAGCGTCAACGTACCTCTCAGCCGCCAATGAAATACATAATCTATTCAACTCACGTGATATACAAACATATCTAGCAAATAAACGAGTTCAATGGACGTTTATTCCAAAGCGAGCTCCCTGGTTTGGAGGTTTTTGGGAGAGGTTAATTGGACTGACAAAGACAGCAATTAAGAAGGTGTTAGGCCGCGCCTACGTGACATACCACGAACTTAACACAATTGTCATCGAAATCGAAAGCGTGTTAAACGACCGTCCTATTACGTACACGTCGTCCGATAATGAAGACGCTACCCCACTCACTCCATCTCATCTGTTAAATGGACGTCTACTGACACCACTACCTTATCTCACCATCGATGACACTGAGCTAAATGATCCAAATTTTGGAAATCAACATTCATTTTACTTCTGATACAGTTGTAGGCGCCCTAAGTTTGTTACGGTTTATGAATCAAAATAGAAAATTGTCGAACGAAAAAAACAAACAGAATTCTGCATGTAAAATATATTTCACGAATGAAATAATTTTGATTCAGAACTGAAACATATATTTACCCTAAACACAATTCGGTGTATCAGAAGTAAAATGAATGACACAAAATAACAACCTTTTTTTAAACATATAAATTTGTGTACTGAATGGAATATAAATTGTACACAACAAAATGGCGTCTGAATAATTAAATAGGAATTCTTTGAACAGAAATACGTTTGATGAAATCAAATACGAATTTTAGAAAATAAAATAATATTTATGAAATGTAAAATAGAATTTACAAACATAAATTGCGTTTTATGGAATGAAATATGGATTTTACAAATGTAAATCGCGTTTTGTGGAATAAAATATGGATTTAAAAAAAACAAATTTGTTTTTAATAGTATTGCAACACTTGGCTTGCCATACTAATGAATTCTAGCATTTTGGATCTATTTATATAACGAATACTTACACAAGCTGTAGTTCGTGGACGAACGGAGTTAACTCCATGGTGGAGGCCATTGAAGAGTGCAAAGCATTGTGGGTCCATACTTTAAAATAAATCGCTGAAATTGGTCATTGGTCGTCGCAATGCGTTATTGATTGCTGAAGTTGGTTATTGATCGTCGCAATGCGTTATTGATCGCCGCAATGCGTTACTGATCGTCGCAAGCGTTATTGATCGTCGCAATGCGTCATTGATCGCCGCAGTGCGTTATTGATCGTCGCAATGCGTCATTGCTCGCCGCAATTTGGTTATTGATCGCCGCAATGCGTTATTGATCGTCGTAATTGGTTATTGATCGTCGCAATGTGTTATTGGTCGCCGAAATTTGGTCATTCTTCGCCGATTGTATATATGGGCCACCGTAATACCGGCAACACGGAAAATACAATTAAGAAAGGCGACGTAGTACTCGTGCACAGTGACACTGAGCGCCGAATAAATTGGCGTTTGGGTTTAGTTGAAAGATTGAATTTCGGTAATGACGGAATCGTTAGATCGGCGGAAATTAGAACCAGTTCCGGTTATACCAACAGACCGATAGTGAAACTATATCCGCTCGAAATTTGCAGTAACGACGTCACACCCATCGACGCTACACGTGACCTTCCTCCTAACGCGCCAGTGTGTCAACAAATAAGTAATCGCCGGACTCCGAGAACTGCCGCCGCCATCGCCCGTCTTCGGATTCAAGACCTGAATGACTTTTGAACCATGAACAATGAACCCTTGTATGTTTGACTTTAACTTCTAACTTATATTCAATATTTAGGACTGATCGTATTTTCATAGTTTTAATTTTCCTTGTGTAAGTTAGTATTTTATGTGCAAGTTAATTTCTCGTAACTTTCTTTCGTATTATTCAGATTTTATGTCTTCGATTCGTTTCAGTATTTTTTTCATTACATTTGTATATTGTTACATTCGTTGTTGCCTTTACTTTCGCGCCCGGGAGAAATATCGGAAACATAAATCCTAAAATGTATGTGCTAGAGCTAGACTTCACATACGGATTCTGATAGTGATTTCTTTAGCCAATCACAATTAGTTAATTCGGACCAATCATGTCCAAGGCTACTGATAGTTACTGACCAATCCCACATGGGATTAATTTTCGCGCCTTTTACCGAAGGTCAAATATAAGTCTATTTAAAGACAAAGCAAATGTATGTTTTTCTGTAGTCTTTGTTTCCGTCATCAATAAACGTTGTTGCTCTGTTCTACGTAATTGGTTGGGTCTTTGCTTAGTCGTCTGTTGCCGAACCGTCCCCTAAAATACAGTTGTTCTCGTACGCTGCAGCTACATCTACCATACATCACTCACACCCACTCTCCCACAAAATAACAACACTTATATTTGAAGGATGCAATAGTTTATGTTATGTATTATAACAAGTTTCACATTACTCAATAGTATACATACATTATTTGCTGAAAAAAACTGCGAATTACACACAGAAAATGTTATTTTCAGCCACATTTTTGAAATGAATTGAGAAAATCTCAAACGCAAGCTATTTGATCAGATAAAAATGTCGTGCCTGGAAGTGACTGAAATTACTTTCTCACGAACGT